CCAGTAACGGCGGGAAATCCCTCTTGCAACTGGTGTCCAACGTTCCGCAATTTTACTAATAGATTCTTAAACTTACGTTTTTCTAAATAACACTGAAATTTTGTTGTTGTATGGGTAGGACAGAAGATATCAATAGCTCCACTGAATAACTATAAACTTTCCAATCCAAGCAAACTTCAAATAAATTTTCCAAAAGAATTTTTAATGTGAGAAAAGCGAACTTCAAGTTCACTATGTGGAAAATTCCTCTAAAAGGAAACACTTTGATTGTGTGCAACTCTTCTTAATTGGATATTCTGAAAAGTAGAAAGGCGATTATTTACTAAAACACTGCATTGTTCCAGGAACTTCCGTTGATTATCGCTTCGTTCGCACGCATAAGACTGATGGTAGTGCACTACTAAAGTTTAATGGTACTCGCCCGACATACGATCAAGACAAGTTTGTCAATGTTCCCATCCAGAAAGGTAAGAATGTTAGCTAATAATCTGATCCAAAGATGAATTTACGATACTTTCTAGAAATTTTCTAACAAGTGAATGCTTTTTACTCGAATTGGCCGTTCAAAAGATATAATAGCAAGTTGGGTATAGGAAACTCAAGCCTGTCCTTATACGCGAAATGGTTTTCGGGAAGAAGATATGGTTACTTGTTTCCTTAAGGCCACCTGGAAAGAGAGTACTTGTGCAAGGAAAGTGAGTACAAGAGTGGGGCAGTGTAAGTGCCTTAGTTTGCGAATACGCGATGCAGGTTCGAATCCTGTCGTGGGCGAACCTTTTTCGTTTCTTTTTTTGCTATAAGCATCTTTTGACTACCTACATAGTAGTCATGAATATTTATATGCATTTCCATTTCCAAACTTCTGCTCAGTTTGCTTCCCTCCTGATCTCATAGGATGTTGCAGTACAAACAGTTGCAACGAAGAACATCTCCTTCGATGCGCTGTGAGCAGCTTTTATGTTCTAAACACATTATAGACGGCTATCACATATGTTCACCATGTATATAATTTCAAATTAACATCTGATCATTGGTTTCGCTTCTAACTGAGACAATAAAAAATGCATTTAAAAGCTTTCTTTAGCAATTACATGTAATTGCAAAAAACGCAAAATATGAACCTACATCACACATCTGCAAACCAAGACACTTACCATTGCACCATTTCACCTCTCGTACTTGCTGCACAAGTACTCCGTATTGTAGGTGGCCTCATGGAAACAACTGCTCATATTTTCTTATTGGAGGCCGTTTCGCAGATATGGAAAACAGGTTTGAGTTTCCTCCACCCAACTCGTTATTCTGCTATATATGTTTTGAATGGCCACTTTGAGTAAAATGCCTTTTCTTGTAAGTTGTAGTATTGACCAAATGAATAAAGACCTTGCTTATATCTGTACATTTAGGATCTCTTATCATTATTCATGGCCTTGTTGTTCACAAAAGTGCACCAAACACGTCTCTGAAAAGTCGTCATGCCTATACATTACATGTAGTAGAGGGAAAAGACACAAATTGGAGTGAAGACAATTGGTGCGTTGACATTCATGATACTCTCAACCTAGTCCTTGTCAAGTTTTTTGGTTTTCCCTTCGAAAGATGGAGAAATTTCCATTAAATTTTTGTAATATTAAAATATTAATACGATAGAAATTCAATTAAGAGTCAGTCCAGGTGCACCACCCAAATTTAAAAATCACTGACCTTTCGTCATGAAAACTCTATATTGAGAAGTATACTTGAAATATGAAACAGCAGACGAAGTTGGTACTAATTGCAGGCTACAGGAGACGGAGACATACAAATTTCCAAGATTGTACGAGGACTAAGGCGTTTTTCTGTCATAATTGCATTTCATGTTTCCATTTTTTCGTTTATTCATACATAAAATTGAAAGAGAAGACTACTTACAAAAGTAATGTTGAATTAATAAAAAAACTCTCATAAAACTGATACAAGCTATGTTTGTCTCTATGATATGAGGGTTTTGTCGCCATGTAAAAGAAGCGGACAGAGAAGAACCTCTCTCTCTCTCTCTCTCTCTCTCTCTCTCTCTCTCTCTCTCTCTCTCT